GATGATGGGTTAGAATGACTGAAATGGAACAGCAATGGTAGGGTAGGGCAAGCGAATCTAGAAGGGAGGAAATGAAGCAAAGCTGCGGGAGGGAGTGCCAGCTTGGAACACTTGCCCAGGGCAATATAACTGGAGGAGGGAATTGATGTACCCTGCCAACCCCCCACAGGGGACTTGGAAACCCCAAATACAATGGGGAGAGGGGAGTGTGGCTACAACAGTCTAGGCTTCGCTTCTCTCCCGCTCCTAAAGGGGTACTTACAGCATCCAATCTCCAGACATCAGAGAACCTTTTGCTACAGAAGCTAAGAGGCCCAGACAGATCTCTGCATTCCGGCACTCAGAGGTTTTGGGAAACAGCTTGCTCCCCACCAATCACTTTAGAGGGAAGCCCCTTACCAAGCACATCCCACTCACAGAGAGGTGCCAATTGTATCAGTAAGAATTTGAGGAAAGTCTCCAGAGACAGTGAATAAGATAAAGAGAAAAAGGACTCAGGGGCAGAGCATGAAGGGGGTGAGATAATCCAGGTGACAGAAGAGACTTCTAAGAAAACTCTTCCAGCCCAGCTGGTGGTTGGCTCAGTGGTTGACTCAGTGGTTGAGCATCATCGCATGCACCAAGAGGTCACCGGTTCGATTCCCGGTCAGTGCACATGCCCAGGTTGAGGGCCACATCCCCAGTAAGGGGCATGCAGGAGGCAGACAACTGATGTCCTCTCTCATCGATGTCTCTCTCTCTCTCTCTCCGTCACCCTCTCTCCAAAGTCAATAAAGAAAAAAATTTAAAAACTCTTTAATTAGAATACTCAGATTTGAGAGGTGTCTCTAAAATGAAGAGAGTATGCTACAAAAAGGAACAAAACAAGGCTCTTAGAAATTAAACTAATTACTGCCAAAATAAAAAATTCACCAGAAAGGTTGAAAAATAATCAAGGTACTCTCCCCGCAAATGGCATAAGACAAGAAAATGGAACAGAGAAAGTAGCTGAGGATCAATCCAGAATGTCCAAGATTTGATTGACAGGAATTCGAGAGAGTAAAAACAGGGGGGGAAAAAAGCATGGAAAGGAGGAACTGTCCCATAAATAACATAAGAAGACAATTTTCAGAAGTAGTACCTGAGTCACTGCACTGAGAAATTCCCCAGAGAACAGTAGGAAGAACACTAGAAGAGGAGACTGGAAGCTTTGGGCACTGGCATGGGACAACAGATCATTGTAATACACATACTCTTTAGTGATTGTCAAAGAAATAAGAATCAGACTGGATTCAGACATCCACAAACTTCTGAGATTTTTCCATCTAGAATTCCAGAGCCAGTCAAACTACCAATCAAGTGTGAGGGCAGGGAGCTTGGGATAGGCATTCAACAACTGTGCCTTCTACATACTCTTTCTTGGCCAAGTGACTTTCAGATGTGCTGCAGCAAAGCGAGGAGGTAAGTGAAGAAAGGGGAAGATATAAAATTCAGGACACAACAGAGCCGAGTGTGACAGCAGAAGTGAAGGTGGGAAACCCACCAAGGACTGACTCGCGTGGGAGGCTGCAGGACTCGGGAAGGGAAATACACAGGAAAAGGGGGACTCAACCGAGTGACTGGATGGAGAATTTGAGAAAACCATGTGGTAAAGGCAAGAAGCACAAGGGGGAAAGAGGGCAAGGAGAAACTTCAGTAAACGCAAAATGCTGTTCCAAAGAGGAAATACAATCATAGTTAGCTGCTCAGATCTGCCGTGAACCTTTACGTGGTCACAATGACATTCAGACTGTTTATTTTCAACTTTTGGAACAAATCAACAGGGTATAAAAAAGACTAACTATGGCTACAGAACAGAATTCAAGAGTTATCAGACGTGACATTGTCAGAGGCAGAGAAGTGGAAGAGGGAAGGAGAAAGAAAGGGCAGGGTGCATCCCACCCCTTACAAAATGGGAACCGAGATACTTTTCTTAGTTAATACAATAAAAACTAAGTATGTAAATATAATAAATAATTTATTTTTCCTGATTATAAAATTCTTGCTCCTTATAGGAAATATGGAAATTCTTTTTTAAAAAAACTTTTAATCACCCATAATTCTATTATTCATAGGACCTGGGTTGGAGCCTAAGCTCTGCAATTTATCACCTGTATGGCTGTGAAAATGCCACTTAACCACTTAAAATATTTTCTTATATTTCTTTCAGGTAATCTCATCCATATGCTTTTTACTAGTATATGTATCATTATAAGAAAACTCTATTATGTACACAATTTTGAATCCAGATTTTTCTCATTTTAAAGCATAAAGTAATAAACTCTGGATGCATATCATGTCATGCTCTTCTACATTTCTAAATATGCTCTTGGCCATAGGGCAATCAGAGGTTTCCCAGAGATGGGGCTCAAACCAAGCCTTTAAAGAAACCTAAGTAGCTAAGCAGGCAAGCTGGGCGGAGTGGTGGTGAGGATCAGGCTCTAGGCCAGTGGGAGCCAAGGTCACAGAAGGGCAAGCACGTGCCTCCAGGCTGCAGGAAGAGGTATGGAGGGTGTAGAGAGAGGAGTCTGAAAAGAGACTATGAAGGGCTTAGTAAATCATGTAAAGGGACCCAGTTTCCCATAAAAGATGAGAAGAGGGCTTGGTAGATCTTGTTTGCTCTGGTACCCAGAATCTAGGACCACGTTTGCGCAGAGAGTGCATGATAAATATATATATATATATTTATTCTCAACCGAGGACATATTTTTCCATTTTTTTGTTCAGATAGAGTGGGAGGGAGAGAGAGAGAAACATCGACGTGAAAGGGACACATTGAGTGGCTGCCACTCACACGACCAACCAGGGCCGGGGACAAACTGCAACCGAGGTACGTGCCCTTAGTGGGAACTGAACCCGGGTCTCTCTGGACCGCAGGCCAACGCTCTAACCACTCAGCCAAACCGGCCAGGGCTGATATTTTTATAATGAACGTATGGTACCTAGGCGGCCGGGAATACCTCCTGCAGCCCTGGTCTGGGTGCTGGATAATGACACGAGTTGACAGGGAAGCCAGAAGCACGATTCACACTCTCAACCTCATTTTTATCTTGTCACTGGTGATGAGTAGTGCATTCCCAGGCAAGACTTTAGGCCCTAGGGGATCCATGGACGGGCCTCAGGGAGCCTATACGTCCCTAACATGAGCACAAAACAATGTGCCATCTGCATGTTGGCAGAAGATCCACAACCTCCATCAGATTCCCAAAGGGGCTGTGACCCCAGAAAGGTTAGGCACACTGGATGGAGGGACAAGTGGAGAAGGGAGAGGACAACTGCCTAGGCAAGAAAGAGACAGGCTCCAGAGCACAGAGGAAGGATCAGCTTTGCCCAAACACAACTCTTCCTGGGCCCGGAGGAGCTCATGGCCATTTGTGTTTGAGCATGCATGTGTTGATGAAGTGTCTCCCCGCTGCTGCCAAAGCACACATCCGATTTCATGGTCACTTTCACCTCACTGTGCTCCACTTAATATACATTTGTTGGTCTCATTTAAGAGTGAGGACAGGTTTCCTTGCTCCACCCTTAATGCCCATCTCTAGGCCTGGCTCTTTGACAGCTACAAGTCTGACAAGCTCTTGGCAACTAAAGAAAATGAGGCTTCAAAGCTCCCATCCACTTCTAGCAAGACCAGCCAAAGAAGAAAGCTGACTCCTAACTGAAGCCAACGCTAACGATCATCACTCCTCCCCTATCAGAAACTATACAGGAAATGGTGGGTGGCAACTTATTTTAGGGCTAGAATTAAACTGGGAGGGAGAAGTATTAGTTGGGAAAGGATTTCATCTGTCTAGTAATCTACTAGGCTCGTGTGATTTGTGCAAGATGAGTCCTGAACCTGGGTGCAGGTTTGTAAAATCTCAGATCTGGAAATAAAATACAAGCAGAAATGTATAAAGTCATCTTGATGAATGAGGAACATAAATGCATGTTACATAAAATTTGGTCTGCTCATATAAATATTTGATACATCCACTTAGAATACAATGTAAGTTAGGTCATAGAATCTTAATAGCCAAGGTTTAATACAACAGAAGGACACCCCAGGACAGCCAATGCAGTTAACGTCCTGTTTTGCTGAAACCACTTAGAATACTCTGTACCTCCAGATCCTTGTCCCCTCCCCCTTGGGTCACACACATCTTGGCCTGCAGGCTTCATTGGATTGCAGTGGCTCGTTACACCTCAGTTGCACAATGGATCCCCTCCCGAGTTTTCAAAACACCGGGGCCTAGGAATAGGAAATTTTTTAGAGAGCCCTAAGTGATTCTCACATACAGCCAAGGCTGAAAACTAGTGCTTTACTGCAAGGTTGGGTCACTGATTCCCAAATCTAGCTTTATGTCACAATCACCTGGGTGGCTTTTCCAAACTAATGATGAACGAAAATCTTTTGCCAGGAAATTACAATGATCTGACTGGGTATTCAATTATGAGGATGAATATACAATGCGAAGCTAAAACAGTTTACCTGTCCTAATGCTCCTAAATCCCAGGTGGTATCTTCCAGGAAAGTCCGCTGTTGGCCTCTTGGTAGGTCAAGGTCAGAGATTTATCCCAAATCTTCACACCTGCTCTTCTTCTTTGAGCGTCCTATCATGCTGGGGTAAGGGGGACCCTAACTTTCTCCTAATCTCAGCAGAGACATGTGGTGTTATCTCTAGGTCTCTCCACCCCCCGACAGGGGGACAAACAGCCACTGTCAGGGTCAGGGAGGGCTTGAGCATTTTTTATTCTTACTTTTGAATCCTACTGATTTCCTGTGATTGTGTCCAGGATTTAGAGTGGCACTGGGAAAAGAAGTTGCTCTGATGCAAGACTGCAGTTGGAGGAGGAAAAAAGACAAAATGAATAAGCTTTCTTGCATATGCCTCCTGTATGTGAAAGCACTCTGTGAACCATACACCACCATGATTAACATTTAGTCTCGCAGAGACAAGACAACCGTGCATGCACCAAACTGCTTATTGCCAGGTGTGGCATTTACGATGAATGCTCTTGCACGTTGAGAGGGTGGTGGTGGACAGACCCAGAAATCAGGAGACTTAAATTCCGGTCTTAGATTTGCTGCTTGCTGGTCACACTGCCTAAGGCACACCCCAAAATCTGTCACTTCCCATACCTAAAAATGAGACTGCACACTCCTTTCTCAGGCTCTCCACAGATCTGGGTGGGGATGACAGGTGGCTGGACAAGCAGCATGGCAGAACAAAGAGAATCTGGACTTCGGTCTTGAATTTGAGTATCGGCTGTCACTTGCTACGTGGCCTTGCTTTAAAAGACCACTCGAAGGTAAATGAGCAAACACCTCTTCCAGTGTTGTAAGGATTAAGGTAATGGTCTATGTAAAAGCATGAGATAAGTGCTGGGTATCAGGATGCCATACATAAAAGTACACAAAGAATAAAGTTCTATATAAATACAAGGCAATATTACATAACTCTACCTATTGCATAGTTTTATAAATAATTTCCCAGGAGTAAAGGCTCAGTGGTAACAAAGGTATCTTACCTTAGCCAGTTTCTTCATCCTTCTAAAAGTTTTCATATTCTAATACCTTTGAACTTCTCCAAAACAATTAAGACCTCAGCAATCCCACTCTGCTCCTCCCTCTCCTTTCCTTTCCCTCTTTGGTCCTCTCAGAATTAGAAGGGCTCCGTTTCTTTCTTCTAAAGACCATCCAGTGAGAATGACACTAAATGGCGCCGCTGCCGGGGCCGAGTGGAGGGAGTGCGCGTGCTCCAGGCCAGCTTATTCTGACTCCCCTATCTGGGAAGGGGCCGTCAAGAGCAGCTCACTGAAGTGGGATGCAGTGGCAACTGCGGGCCATTTGGAGAGTTGCTAATCTTAGCAAATGAACACAGCCCAGCAGCATTTGGGGCCCGTGTGCTGTCTCCATCAAAACTCAAGTGCTTGGCCATGCAGACTGGGGAACAGTCAGGAGAGACTCACCAGGGTTTACCATACCAAGGTTCATGAGGTATAGCCAATGAGGGAAACGGCCATTTTCCTACTTCTGTCCATTTTAGGAGTGGTAGACAGTTAATAGTTTACAAAAAAAGAAATGTTTAAATTACCTAGGGAATGGACATCTTATAAATATTCATAGGTGAGTCATTGGTGAATCGCTACCAAGTGGTTTCCTTAACTAGTCACTGCTGAACTCAAAATACTAGTATACAAGGTTCAAAGCGCCAGAATTCCACCAGGCAGACTTATACCAGTAACCTGCCTGCTGCTCAGGAAACTGTCAGTTTTCAAAAACAAAATTTAGTTTAAAAATACCTTTCCCCAAATGGGATCTTGATTCCTTAGCTTTGTCTGACCCATTTCTAAGAAAGCCACAATCTATTTCAGACACTGCCACTTAGGGGGCAGTTAAAAGCAAAGTCCTTGCCTGCAGGGGCTTAGTTTCATTTTCTTTAAATTAACCTCTGAAATGCTTGTTTTGTGCTGCATTCCTAAAAACTGTCATTTTTAAGGACATAGCAGACCTCATTTTTACCAAGGAGGAAGAACACAGCAGAGGTGTCTAATTTAGGGGGGCAGCAGTTATGATCAATGCCTGGAGGCCTTCCTCTTTACTTGCTACTCAACGAGGTGGGTTCGGTGGTGTCGCATGAGGTGTGAGTTGGAAATGAAAGCTGAACCACACTTCTCACATTCATAGGGCTTCTCCCCAGTGTGGGTTCTCTGGTGCACAGTGAGGCTTGACCTCTGCCTGAAGGCCTTGCCACACTCATTGCATGTGTAAGGTTTCTCCCCATTATGGATTCTCTGATGAATGAGCAGGTACGAGCTGCAGGTGAAGGCCTTCCCACACTCGTTACACACGTATGGAAGATCTCCACTGTGAATCCTCTGGTGCACAATAAGGCAAGAGAGCTGACTGAAGGCTTTTCCACACTCGCTGCAGTCATAAGGTTTCTCTGCAGTGTGGATTCTCTGGTGCACAATCAGGTGTGAAAAACAGCTGAAGGCTTTCCCGCACTCTTTACACTCATATGGCTTCTCACCAGTATGGCTTCGCTGATGCACCGTGAGATTGGCGCTCTGCGTGAAGGCTTTGCCGCAGTCATTACAGGCAAAGGGCTTCTCCCCAGTGTGGATCCTCTGGTGCACAATGAGGTTGGAGCTCCGAGTAAATGTCTTCCCACACTCATTACATTCATAGCATTTTTCTGTAATGTGCACTTTCTGGTGTCGAGCAAGCTGCGAGCTGTAACTGAAGGCTTTCTCACATTCACTGCACTTAAAGGTTTTTTCTAAGGAGTGGATTCTTTGATGGACAGTCAGGTTTGAACTCTGAGTGAAGGCTTTCCCACATTTTGAACATACATAGGGTTTCTGCCCAGTGTGGATCCGCTGATGCACTACGAGGTTGGCACTCTGAATGAAGGCCTTCCCACACTCATGACACTCGAAGGGCTTCTCCCCAGTGTGGATCCGCTGATGCACTACGAGGTTTGCACTCTGACTGAAGCCTTTCCCACACACACCGCAAGTGAAAGGTTTCTGCCCAGGCTGGCTTTTCTGGTTTTTAACAGGGCCAGAATTACGGTTGTATCTTTCTCCCAATTTCGGGCATTTCTGGTCTTCCTCTTCTTTGACGCTTTCAGGTATGTGACAGTCCTTCACTGTCATCTGCCTGAAATCGTTCTTTTCGCTCTTTATTCTCTGCCTCTTTAACATGTTCCCTTTTTCATCGGCTTCTTCGAACTCAGGTCCTTGCGAGTCAACTGTCTGGATTTTTCCTGACATCATGTAGGCTTTTTCTGCTTCGTCACATATTTCAGTTTTTGGAACCAATAATTGTGGGTTCTTGGTCTCAGCACCTGAAACAACAAACAACAAATACAAATGTCAGCTTTTTCTGACCTAGAAAAAGAATAAGGTCACCTGGCTGGTGTGGCTCAGTGGTTGAGTGTCAGCCAATGCACCAAGAGGTCACAAGTTTGATTCCTAGATAGGGCACATGCCCAGGTTGTAGACCAAATCCCCAGTGCAGGGTATGCAGGAGGCGGCCAATCAATGTTCTCTCTCACTGATATTTCTATCTCTCTCCCTTCTTCTCTCTCTAAAATCAATAAAGAAAAAGAATTAACATTGCTAGACTGACAAACCTCAAAGGGAAAGGGGTTGGGGGGGGTGGGAAGAAATAAACCAAAGAACTTCTATGCATAACCAATGGACACAGACAATAGTGTGGGAAAAGGCGGGAGTGGGGCGGGAGTGGGGGGGGGGTTAATGGGGGAAAAATGTGGAACATCTGTAATACATTCTACATTCAACAATAAAGATTTAACAAAAAAAAAAGAAAGAAAAAGAATTTAAAAAGAACAGGATCATAAAGCCATAAAAGTGAGGAATATGTGCCTTCAGTGTCTGTAGAAGGCCTTCGTCAAAAAAAAAGGAGCCAGGCCCAGCTGGTGTGGTTCAGTGGTTGAGCATCGACCTATGCACCAAGAGGTTGTCAGTTTGATTCCCAGTCAGGGCACATGCCCAGGTTGTGGGCCAAATCCCCAGTGGGGGGGCATGCGGGAGGTGGCCAATCGATGCTCTCTCTCATCGATGTTTCTATCTCTCTCGCCCTCTCTCTAAAATCAATAAAGAAAAAGAAATTTTAAAAAATAATAAAAAAATTAAAAAAAAAAAAAAAAAAAAAGAGCCAGGCCCCTGTGGCTCAGTGGTTGAGAGTCGACCCATACATGAGGAGGTCGCCAGTTCGATTCCCACTGCCCTGGACCCTGCAATGTGCACCCAAGCAGCCAGGGCCACACTCCACCAGAGCTAGCAGAGTGAACCCGTATCAAGTGTTTGGGAGTAAAATCAAGCTCAGGAAAATTACTCTAAAATAAGGCCAGTGGGATGAGGGTCAGCAGCAGTGGGAGGCAGGCCTTCCCAGTGGTGGTATAAGCTCAGAAGTGAGCAGTAAAGCTGTGAACAGCATCATGCAGCAACTGCCGGGGGAATCCAGCATCCACAAAGCATCCTACCAGCTCAGGCCACGGCAACTCTCCAACCAGAAATGAGTGGGTAGGACAGGGATGTTGAGATGGGACAAAGCAATATGGGGGGCAGGGAAACAGCCCAGTTTGGTTGCCTGGTTAAGATGAGGGTAATAGGAGATTACATCAAAATCATTCAGATAGCCCAGCCAGTGGGGCTCAGTGGTTGCGCATCGACCCATGCACCAAGAGGTCACCGGTTCGATTCCTGGTCAGGGCACATGCCCAGGTTGTGAGCCAAATCCCCAGTGGGGGACATGCAGGAGACAGCCAATCAATGTTTTCTCTCATTGGTGTTTCTATCTCTCTCTCCCTCTCCCTTCCTCTCTCTCTAAAATCAATAAAAAAAAAAATTTTTTTTTAAATCATTCAGATAATAAGGGCAGTGTCACAGAAAGGGAAGTCTGAGTATGAGATAGAGTAGAGCCTCGTATGTGACAATGAAAAATCTGAAATGCTGCCCTAGCCAGTTTTGCACAGGATTAGAGTGTCGGCCCATGGGCCAGAGTCTTGGGTTCAATCCCCAGTCAAGGGCATGTGCCTTGGTTGTGGACTTGATCCCTGGCCCCAGTCAGGGTTGTGCAGGTGGCAACCAGTCTATGTCTCTCTCTCACATCAATGTTTCTCTCTCTCCCTCCCTCCCACTCTATCTGGAAAAAAATCAATGGAAAAATATCCTTGGGTGAAGATTAAAAAAAAATCTGAATGTTATTAAGTTATGTTTAAAGGCTTAAAAACTTGGTTTTAAATGTAGATTTTAATAAATTCAACATTAATGAATATATAGAAAACTATAAATTCTCTCAGACTTTAAAAACCCAGGTAACACCCTGGCCAGTTTTCTCAGTGGTTAGAGCATTGGCCCATGGACTGAAGGGTCATGGGTTTGATTCCCGGTCAAGGGTATGTACCTGGGTTGCAGGTTTGATCCCCATCTGGGTCGTACGGGAGGCAACCAATTGATGTGTCTCTCACATTGATGTTTTTTTCTCTCTCTCTTCCTCCCTCCCTCCCTCTCTTCCATTCTAACTAAAAATCAATGGAAAAATATCTGTGGGTGAGGATTAACAAAAAAAACCAGTAACATGTCTAAATTTGCAAAGTACTTTCATGTCCGTGATTTTATCATCCAAATGAAACTTCTCTTTCACTTGAGTAGGAGCTAAAAAAGGGCAAGTCTGTGTCTTACTCACTGCGGTATTCCCAGCACTGATCGCCCTGCCTAGCACACAGAAAGCCAGTCCCCAACACACCCTGCATTTACTGAATGAATGCGCCCCCCTTTACAGAACAGGAAATGGAGGTCCAGGAGCGAACAGACTTGCTCACTGCCATAAAACTATCAGAGACAGGGCAACAACTACACGAGGTCTCTGTTCTCAGAGCTTGGTGTCCCCACTATGCCCTGCTGCTGTGAACGTGGCTGGCAGCACAGAACAGTGAGTCTGGCTGGGAACAGTCTTGAGAGGCAGAGAAGGAAAATGGAGGCCATTCCTGGCGGATGCGTGCAGTTGTGGGAGTTAAGACTGAATAACTGATAAAGCAAGGAAACAGAGAAAAAGTGACACACCAGGGAATGCACCAGAGGGAAAGGAACAGAAAAAGCAGAAAGCAGGGGACAGAAGCTGCGGAGAATCTGGGGAGTAAGGAAAAAAGAGACAAGAAGATGAAAGGTGGAGATCCTAGCCTTCCTCACAACACTGGTTTAAGAAAGTGACTTGGTCGGCAGATGCCTGAGGAACTGGCCAGGGAGGAGAGCGAGTTCACAAACTGCAGACTCCACCCTGAACCAGGCAGACTCATAAAATGGGTGCCAAAGGGGGCCTTGGCAGTGATCCAGGGACTGCTTCCACAATAGAGGACTCGTGGCTACAACCTGCTTCACCCTGTTATGCGTCACTTGACTGGCAAGCTTCAGCCACTGACAGTTCGACATACAGAACATACTTCCCTGTCCTGAGTCCCAGCATCGAGAACCAAGGGATAAGCCTGCACCCTCCATGAGAGCCTAGTTTTGAACATCATTACAGCTGATGCAACTGCTCAGACTCATCCAGAATTTGCACAAAGATCTAGGAAAACAGAACATCTCCAAAACCACCACCAAAGTTGAGCCTAGCTTTCTTGTAGGCTCATCAACCTATGCTAAACACAAAGTATGTGAAGAGGACATGTACCCTTGTGGGAACAGATATAAAACCTGCTGAAAAATAAATGTGATTAAAGGTGAATTTGGCCCAGCCGGTGTGGCTCAGTGATTGAGAGCATCAACCCATACACCAAGAGGTCGTCAGTTTGATTCCTGGTCAGGGCACATGCCCAGGTTGTGGGCCCAATCCCCAGTGTGGGGCATGAGGAGGCAGCCAATCGATGTTCTCTCTCATCGCTGTTTCTATCTCTCTCTCCCTCTAAAATCAATAAAGAAAAGAAAAAAATTTTTTTAAAAATATGAATTTGAAGTTCACCTGTGTTAGTCTGGTGTCTTGAGACTGTATGTAAAATAAGCCATTCCCTTGGACAAATGCATAGGCATCTTTCAGCACTGTGAATCAGGGGCTAAACTTACCTAGAGAGGTCACGTTCCCATGAGTCTCCAGTATCTCGCTCTTGGCCAGACACCCCGGTAATGAGTAGCTGCCAAGGGCTGAAGCAGCAGGCACCTCCTGCGTTGCTTTCAGGACTACCGCCATGTCCCAGAACATGTTCTGACCCTACAGACAGGCAGGCACAGGTGAGTTTACTAGAGGATGGTTGGGGTGGGGGCTGTGGGGTGGTCAGGTATGATGACAGCTTTCCGGGCAACCATAAAACAAACAATCTTCCCCCTATCAATCCCAAACTTTTGTTTTTTTAAAACTGATTTTAGAGAAGGAGGAAGAGAGAGAGGAAGAGAGGAGGAAAGAGGAGAGAGAGAGAGAGATACATTGACTGGTTGCCTCCCATACACACCCCAACTGGGGATAGAACCCACAACCTAGGTATGTGCCCTGTCTGGAAAATGAACCTGTAACCAACCGACCGAGTCACACCAGCCAGGGCCAAACTTTTTTTTTTTTTAATCCTCAACTGAGGATATGTTTTTATTGATTTTTGAAAGAAACAAACATCGATGTAAGAGAAACACTGATGGGTTGTCTCCCATATGCACCCCAACTGGGGAACAATCCTGCGACCTTTCTGGTATATAGGAAGAGACTCTAACCAACCGAGCCACCCAGCCAAGGCCCCAAACATTTTAAAAAAAATAAGAACAGGAAGCCAAGGAAGCCAGAGTCTCTCCCAATCCCCAAGCCCAGTTCGGCAGAGAAGCAAGCCGCCACTTTCTTCCCTGCTGCTCTGCTGTCACCTCACTGCCCAGTCTAGCATCCAAACCTACCCTGCCATGACAAGGCAAAGGGCCCACGGGGAGACTGCCCAGAGGAGAATTTTCTGAGGTTGAAAGATCAAAGGAGAGCATATTACTACAGAGGCTTTGGCAAACCTCATCTGGCTAACAATGATAAGAGGTGTGTTTGAAAACACAAAGACCACAGTTTAGTGAATGGCCTCATTACTCAAAGTGTGGTCTGCAGTTCAAAAGAATCACCACCACCTGGGAGCTTGTGAGGACTGCTACATCTCAGGCCATGCCCCCAACCTTCTAAATCAGAACTGCATTTTAATAAGACCCCACCGCAGTGATTCCTCTGCACGTTCAAGTTTAAGAAACACAGGTTATAATGATCAAATCCTGAGTGGAATCACCTAAACCGTTTTAAAAACTACAAAAGTCTGGGTCCCACCCCCAGAGACACTGATTTAACTGGAATGAGGTATGGCGTGGGAATCACAATTTTATCAAAAGCTTGCCAGGTAATTCTGTGTAGCAAAGTTTGAGAACCACTGAGTTATACAGTACTAAATGTCAAATCAATCAGAAGAGAATGTTCCTATTATATTCCAAAGGACTAAAGGCCAGAGCCCGAGCTAAGAAACAAGACTCTAGGTGTGGAAGCAGAGGGACAGTGCCCCCCTGAAACCACCTGAGACCTTTAGGCCTCTCCTCCCTCATTCCTCCCAGACCACAATTTACCTTTTCCTCCTGTTCTGTTACACCAAGGCCTCTCTGAGGATCCTCTCCAGGGGCCCAGACTTTGACGTCTTCAGAATGCATTTGCTGGCTGGATGCCTGACCTAGGAAGTTCTCCTCCTCTTCCTCCTCCTTTTTCACTGTCGCTGGGGCCCAAGGGGCCAGGGCCATGGCCTCTCTCAAATCTGCAGTCATCTCTGCTCAGCAGGAGAACTCCTACAGCTGGGGGCTGCCCAGCAGAGGTCAAGCCCCATCTAACCTTTAAGTTTCAAAAGTTTCTTCTTGAGTTTCTTACCAGGGCCAGGATGAGGACTGGCTACTGAAAAATCAGGAAACACTGTTAGCATCAAGCAGAGGTCTGCCTGGCTGCCACTAAGCTCAACAGTTAATTTCACCAGTGCTGAGAAAGTGGCCATTGCAGTAGTTAGTCAGAGAAAGACAACTATCACATGATCTCACTTATTTGTAGAATATAATGAACAAAATAAGGTGATGAACAAAACAGACCCAGAGACATAGAAGCAGGGTTCAGACTGGCAAACTTCAGAGGATGGTGTGTGGGGGGGAGCAGAAGAGATAAACCAAAGAACTTATGCATATAAGCATAACCAATAAACATAGACAACAATGCTAGGGGCGGGCACAGGAGGAGGGTGTCAATGGGGAGAAAAGGAGAAACATCTGTAACAAAAATAAATTATTTAAGTAATAAAATAAAGTGAAAGTATATATGTTCTACACACACACAGTAATTAGTTATCAGTCACTTAGTCTTTTCTCTGGGCTGCATTACATGTATGTACATCTTCACGCTTACTGCTTATTTTTCCAAAATACACATATTGTTCAGCAATCTACATTATTTGGTTTTTTTTAAACTCAATTTCCACATTTTGCAATGGTCTAGTGGTCTTGGATAGATGTTTCAATATAAGTACATTTAGAGCTATCTCATTCTGGCATAGTACTCTCAATTATAGCTATAATTTACTACCCCTTGTGTATGAACCATTGCTTCAGTTAAAGAAGTCTTGATAGTTTCCACTTATTTTCCTAGTAACATTTAATGTTAATTTTTTTTCTGTGCAAACAGAATAGAGGGATTACTGGTTGAAGGATTTCATGGTTGACATGCTTTCTAAAAGGACTGCACCAAATCACACACCAACGTAACGGTCCCCCCTTATCATAGCCAAGCAAGCAGGTTTATGTTGTTTTTAAAATTCTTTTGTGATTAAAAAGATCTTAACATTTTCACTGATTATGATTAGAGTGAGAAGTTTCTATTCCCCTTCAGCTGCTTTACTAGAATAAAAAATGCTTTTACTAATTCCCCTTTTTGTGCTATTGAAGTGATCATATGCTTTTTCCCACGTGTCCTGGCAATTTATGGTATACATTGAATTTCCTGAGTAATGCAACCCTTTCATTCCTGCAACAAATCTTAATTCTGGAAGATTACTCTTTCCCTGACTAGCTGAATTCTGCCGGGGTGGAAGGCCCTTAACACTCCTTTCACCTGTGAATATTCCAACGCCTGGCTAATAAGAGTACTGTCACCACACTGCTGAGCAAACTGAAATCGACCTCCACCCTAGACAGCACAGACTCCTTCACAAGAACTTCCTTGCCATGTCCCCTCTCTATTTCCAAACGTGGCAGCCCACCTGCCCTCCACCCCCAGGGCCCACGCAGCCCTGATCCCGGGGTAAGCCTGGCTGCTGGGGGGTTCTTGTCCAACCTCCCCCAGGCCAGGCCTTCGAAAGTGGCAGCCGGGTTTCCGAAGTGGAGGGTCGCGGAGGGACCCTCGAGCAGAGCCGGGGTCCCCGAGGGGAGGACGCGCTGGCCCACAGGGATGCCCTCCCCCGCCAGCCCCGCTCACCGTGCGCCGCGGAGACGCCGGGCCACAGAGCTCGCGGCTTTGGGGCCGAAGGCCGCAGGGCCGGAACCTCCAGGGCTAGCGGCACGAGAACAATGACCGGACAGGAAGTGCCTCGGGATGGGCTTCCGGCTCCCCAAGTCGCCAGGCCGGCCTCTCTAGGAATCTCGGAGGTGCTTTCCTCTCGATGGGTGTCCAATATCGCTTCGGATCAGGGATGGAGCAAAAGCGCTTAGAAGAAGGGTGGGCGCAGGTAGGCTGTGGCAGGGAAGCGGGGCATCCCCGGGTTGGGCAGTTGAGCGAGTCAAGCACCGAGGTGCCCGAAACTACAAAGCATGATACTGCAGAAAGCACTGATAATTTTGATCCAAAGGTTTTATTTTTAAAATATCAAATGGTACAGAAAAGTTGAAAGAAAGGTACAACGAATACCTGTATCCTCCATCTGGACTCAACAATCAACACTTGGCTACGTTTGCTTTGTATTATACATACTGGAAAACATTTTTTTTTGAATGTTGTAAACATAAAAACCATTCCAAATACTCTCTGAACACCATCATTACAAGTGAAAAAATTAACAATTCCCTAATATCACCCAATATAGTTATATTCAAATTTTCCCAACTGTCCTAGAACATATATTTCATAATTTGGTTTTTCCAAAGCAGTTTCACACACTGCATCTGATTATGGCTCTTTAGTCTTTGTTTTTACTTTTTATTTGGAATTTATAGATTCACAGGAAGTTGCAAAGATAATACCCTTCATCTAGTTTCCCTCAACAAGTATATCTTACATAATTATATAAAAATCAGAATATCAACATTTGTACAATGTGTGTGTATACTTCTGTACGTATAGATTTGGGTAACCACCACAATCAAGATATACACTGCTGCAACACTACAAAGACCTCCCTAGTGCTACCCCTCCCTTTCCCCCTGCTCCCTCCCACCATCCCCAACCTCTGGCAACCACTAAACTGTTTTTCACTTATGTAGTTTTGTCACTTTAGAAAATTATATAAAAGAAATTATAAACTTTTTCACCTTTTCAAATTGGGTTTTTCACTCAGCATTAATTCTCTTGAAATCCACTTCAGTAACTGCAGGCATCAATATATCATTCTATTTTATTGCAGAGTAATAAGTATTCCATGGTATAGATACACCAGTTTGTCTTAACCACCTGCTGAAGGGTATCTGGGTTACTTACAAATTTTGATTATGAATAAAACTGCCACAAATAGTCATGTACAGGCTTTCATGTGAACATAAGTTTCCGTTTCTCTGAGATAAAATACTCAGGAGTGCAAATACTGGGAAGAAACTGCTAAACTATTTTCCGGAGTGGCTGTGCCATTTAACATTCCTGGCAAATATGGGATGGTTTCTCCAAATCCTTGCCAGCATTTGGTGTTAACTCTTTTTTAAAGCTTTTCTGTGCAGTTATTTTTCACTTGCATTTCCCTAATGGCTAATGATGTCAAGCACTTTTTCATTTCCTTACTTGCCATCTATACTCTGGTGGAACGTCTGTTTGTGAGTTTTGCTCATTTTCTAATTAAATCTACTTATTATTGAGAGTTTGGATAATTCTTTATATAGTCTAGATAAAAAACCCTCTATGAATGTATGACTTGTGAATATTTTCTCCCCATCTGAAATGTTTTTTCATCCTCTTAAGAGTCTTTTGAGGATCAAATCATTTTCATTTGATGAGATCCAATTTATCACTTTTTCCTTTTATGGAGCATGTTTTGTTTGTTTTTTTTTTTTGTTTATCCTCACCCGAGGACATTTATTTATTTTGTTCAGATAGAGTGGGAGGGAGAGAGAAAGAAACATCAACGTGAAAGGGACACATCAAGTGGCTGCCTCCCGCACCCAACCAGGGCCGGGGACAAACTGCAACCAAGGTACATGCCCTTAGCAGGAACCGAACCTGGGTCTCTCTGGATCACAGGCCGACGCTCCAACCACTGAGCCAAACCGGCCAGGGCTGGAGCATGTTTTTATTTTTATTTCATTTTATTTTTTTTAATCCTCACCCGAGAACACTTTTTGCATTCATAGAGCGAGAGGGAGAGAGGAAAAGAGAAAGAAACATCGATGTGAGAGAGACACATGGAGTGGTCACCACCCACACAACTCCAACTGGAGCCGGGGACAAACTGCAACCAAGTTACATGCCCTTAGCGGGAACCAAAACAGGGTCTCCCTTGACCACAGGCCGATGCTTTAACCGCTGAGCCAAACCGGCCAGGGCTGGAGCATGTTTTTAATATAAATCTAAGAGTTCTTTGCTTAATCTTGGTTCCTGACTACTTATTTATTTTGCCTACGGATACCCAATTGCTCAAGCAGCATTTGCCAAAAAATCTGTCGTCTGCTGAATTCCTTTCGCATCTGTCAAAAATAAACTGGGCATTTGTGTGGGTCTTTTCCTGGTGTAGTATCATATGGCTTTATTATCTTTGAAAAACCTCCTCATCCACATTTTATACCTTTTACTATGTTAAATCTCATACATAAAAGCAGAAAACAGTACAATGAACTCTCAATACATATCCAGGTTCAAAAATTACCACCCATCCCCTATTCACCTTTTTGAAGAATTCAGTGCAGTTTTCTTATATATCCCATGTTCTGAATTTGTTTCCTGTGGGGTCATTTATCTTGTTCTTCTGCCTCTCCTCTATTTCCTGTAAACTGACAACAGGGTCCAAGAAGCTTGATGAATTCTGGTTCTACTTTTGGCTTATTGCATCGCATGAGGAGGATGGTTATTATATGGGTGGCTTCAGCCTTCGTGATGCTGCATTCTAATTGGTTAAGAGGTAAATGTGAGCTCTCTCCATTGTTAAAATAAGTCGTTCCCTTTGTAATTATTATGTAATCTGAGGTGATTATTCTGCAGCATAGATATAAAGCAATTTCATATTCATTACCTCATAACAACTTTATGAGGTAAATATTCTCCCTCCTGCTTAACAGATGAAGAAATCAAGGCTCCAAGAAATAAAGGCATTTGTCCAAGGAAAGTTGCAGAACCTGACTCATGGCCAGGGCTTAAGACTTTTAACCTCGGGCCCCTTCCAGTTTTCCCTCTTGGGTACCTTTCATTCTAATGAGGAACCAGCCCTCAAAGAACTTTGGAGTTGAATTAATATTTATTATAATCAATATACCACTTTAACACTACTAGTCTAATTAGAAACCACAATCCTGATATTAATAGTCCAGCAGCAGAATTGGAGTTTTGAGAATTACAACATGAAATTATCAACTCAAGAATGAATATAGGTTGAATTAAATTTACAAACGTACAAAAGGAAAGACTGAACGAATGGTTGATTTACAGGCAATAATGGGACTGACTGCCCAGAGGTGGATTCTGAATTGGTTTAATTACAGCTTGAAGGGCTTGGCTCTGTGTGAAGAATGTATGTAGTTGAGTGCTGGGACAGAATGTTGAGTAACAAGTTATCTCATGTCAGCAATGATAAAGATATTGATTAGAATTGAAAGTGACAGTGGCAGGGATAATCAGCTCAAGGGTTGGGGTTAAGGACTTTTCCCTATGAACAAGGTAAGCAACACAGGACTGTCCTTCCATTCTGACACTCTACAGCCATTAGCTTTCAAATTCAAAGGTTGAAAAGAAATTGTTTGCCTCGGTATCAGCGTGAACAGCTAGACATATTATTCTTCCACAATAAGCCAGTATTTTACATAAAAACAAACTAGCCATATTACCTATTAACTCCCTTAAACATTAAAAACATAATAATTCTTTCAGTTTTCAAGCCAACAACCTAAGATTCATTCTTTCTTTTTCTTAAGTTGATTTTAGAGAGAGAGGTAGAAAGGGAGGGCAGGAGAGAGAGAGAGTGCATGTGTGTGAACATGAGAGAGAAACATCGATTGGTTGCCTCCCATATGCGCCCTGGCCAGGAATCAAACCCGCAACCTTTTACCTTTTGGTATATGGGATAACACTCCAACCGAGACACCTGGCCAGGGTTCCCTTAAACATTTTTAAAGTTATATTTTTCATCTTTGTAGAGTGCTAAATTCCAGATAGCTATCCACCACATTTCATCTTACTATGAAAATAGCTTTTGATATTCATTTTGATATTCAGAGTCTAAATATTAACTTAACAAACAAATACTACATTATGCCATGTTTTAGATTTTGACTATACCTCTTTTATCCAACTTTACTGACAACTAAATTATTTCACAAGGATTCTTTCACTTAATCCTTATAACAATCCTGTGAGGTAGGTATTATGTCAATATTTGACTGACAAACTGAGGCTTAGACGCTGACTTAATAATACATAGTAAGGAAAGGGCCAGGACCCAAACTGAGGTCTTCTGACTCCAAATCCAGTGCTCTTAAGTTGATATCAAACATCAGACTCTTGCTCACCCAACTCTATGTCTGACATGTCTATATCATACTGTCTATATAGTATAGACAGCAGTGATTCTATCTTTAAAATGTGTAATATACACATTTTCAGAAACAACTTCCGCTTTTTAATACAAAGATATTTCTGCTATCACTTACAAAAACATCATTACATCTCATAAGACATAAACCCAGTTTCTTCAGAGTTTTCAATTGCTCCAAGGTCTCGTTCTAGGTCATAAAAAATGATCTGGAATTGAGTATCCTTTATCTAAAATTTGGTTTGACTTTGTAGTCTTGAAAAGTGTAGAATAACCCTCTTCCACATGTAGCTTGCTTGACTATAATAGAGGCAATCATGAATTTTTTTCCTTATAAAAACCAAATACTGCCCTGGCTGATTTGGCTCAGCAGTTCGAGTGTTGGCCAATGGACCAAAGAGTCTCAGATTCAATTCCCAGTCAAGGGAATGTACCTGGGTTGCAGGTTCAACCCCCTGCCCCAGTTGGAGACAATGTGTCTCTCTCACATCGATGTTTCTCTCTCTCTCTAAAAAAATCAATGGAGAAATATCTTTGGGTGAGGATTAACAACAAAAAGAGCCATATATTGCCATTTTTCCAACAATTACTTAAATAGGTAGGAATTCTATTCCACTTTACATGACACTAGATTTTCTGAATCTCTATCTTGGGCTCAACTCGTTGGCATTTTGAAGCCAAGAGAATTCTTCCATGGTATGGATTTTTTGTTGAAGAGGAAGGTTTGACGTGTGAGAGAATTCTTTTTCAGACTCATGACATTCACAGACTTTTTCAACTGTATGAATTTTCTGATGCACAGTAAGGTTTTTTCTTTGCCTAAAAACCTTACTACAATCATTACACCCATATGGTTTCTCCCCTGTGTGGATTCTCTGGTGGCCAACTAAATTCCTTTTAGAAGTAAACGATTTTCTACACTTCTCACACTCATAAGGTTTTTCCCCCGTGTGCATTCTCTGATGTACAATAAGGTTTTTATTTTGACTGAAGTCTTTTCCACACTCATTACATTTATAAGGTTTTTCTCCAGTGTGGATTCTTTGATGTACCATTAGATTTCTGCTAGAGGTAAGGACTTTTCTACATATATGACATTCGTAGGTTTTCTCCCCACTGTGAATTCTTTGATGTTCAATAAGGTTTCTGTTGTAAGTAAAGCCTTTCCCACACTCACTACATGCATAGGGCTTCTCGCCAGTGTGGATTCTCTGATGGGCTATAAGGTTTGACCGGTAACTGAAGACTTTCCCACAATCACTGCATTTATATGATTTTTCCCTTGTGTGAATCCTCTGATGTCCAATGAGGCTTTTCTTCAGAATGAAGCATTTGCCACACTCATTACACTCATACGGTTTCTCACCACTGTGGATTCTCTTATGTTCAATGAGGTTTCTGTTAGAACTGAAAGCTCTTCCACACTCACGGCACTCAAAGGGCTTTTCCCCAGTGTGGATTCTTCGATGCACCAGCAGGCTTGAATTGTAACTGAAAGCCTTCCCACAATCCTCACATTTGTAGGCTTTTTCCTGTGTATGAAGTTTCTGATGGACCATGAAACTCTTGCTCATAATGAAAGTTTTCCCACACTCACGACATTCATAGGGCTTCTCCCCATTGTGGAGTCTCTCGTGGTCAATCAGGTTTCTGTTAGAACCAAAGACCTTGCCACAATCTTTACATTCATAGAGATTCTCTCCAGTGTGGAACCTCTGATGTAAAATGAGGCTTTTCTTTAAAATGAAAACTTTCCCACATTCATTACATTCATAGGGCTTTTCCCCATTGTGGAGTCTCTGGTGATCAAAAAGGTAAGCACTCTGAGTGAAGGCTTTCCCACATTCAGTACATTTATAAGGCTTCTCTCTGCTATGCATCCTCTTATGGTCAATGAGGTTTGATTTAGAATTGAATATCTTCCCACATTTTTTACAACCAAAGGTCTTTGTTTCCGTGTGTACTCTCTGGTGTAAAAGGAGGCTTTTGCTTCGAATGAAAACTTTTCCACATTCTTTACATTTGTATGGATTCTCTGCACTGTGAAGTCGCTGGTGATCAACAAGGTAAGTGGTCTGAGCAAAAGTTTTGCCACATTCATCACATTTATAGGGTTTTTCGCCGGAGTGGATTCTCTGGTGCAGAATGAGGCTCTTCTTCAGGATGAAAGCTTTCTGACACTTGTTACATTTATAAGGTTCTTCCCCTTTGTGGAGCCTCTGATGGTCAATGAGGTAAGCATTCTGGGAGAAAACTTTCCCACACTCATTACATTTATAAGGTCTCTCTCCAGAGTGGCGCCTTAGATGTATAATAAGGCCTGAGTGCCTATAGAAGCCCTTTCCACACTCCTTACATTTATAAGGTTTCTCCCCAGTGTGGATTCTCTGATGGTTTAGGAGGTAAGCACTTTGAGAGAAGGCTTTCCCGCATTCATTACACTTATAAGGTTTCTCCCCAGAGTGGTTCCGTAAATGCATTAGAAGGCTTGAGCGCTGAATAAAGCCTTTTCCACACTCCTTACATTTATGAGGTTTCTCGCCAGTGTGAATTCTCCGGTGGTTTATAAGATGGGAGATTTTATTGAAATGTTTACAACATATATCACATTTATAAAACTTCTTTCCTTCAGTACCCATTAAACTTTCAGAAAGAGCTGAACTCAAAATCAAGCTTTCTCCAAATTCCTTCCCCTTTTGGCCTCGTCTTCCTGGCAGAGTCCTTTTCTTCCTCTCTCGTTCACGGAGGGAACCTTTCTTCGGTGTATCTCTTTCACTTGTTTCATTTCCCCACTGACTGGCCAAAGCTTGCCATGCACACTCTTTCTCAAAGTCAAGGACCTGGGGAATACCTCCTTGAGGTCTTCTGGATGTTCCTTTCTGAGAATCAGATCTTTGAGATACGCTTGACTTTGCAGACACCTCTTCATTCTCAGTCATGGTCTCCCATTCTGGTAAAAAATTAAAAATGCAAATGTTACCAAGTCCCTGTGTTAGTGAGAACAAAATCTTCATATGACTTTAAACAAGCTAGAAGAATTCACTTTCATATGCATACAAAAAGGAGAAATTTTTCATTAAATGCAGGTACAAAGCAGAATGCTACACTAGGAAAATATTATAAAACGGATTAACACATAATTCACTCGGAGATACATCTAATAATGCTTTGTCCTCAAGGAGCAGAAGGAAAACATAAATTATGTTGAAAAAGTAGATACAAGGAAGAATGAGAGAGAACATGGGGTTTTATATTGGTGGTTCAGACCTGGTGGTCCATAGGATCAAGAAGCTAAATGGAACAAGAAGAATTGTTTGGCTTATAAAGAACTGCCTTTTGCCCTGGCCAGTTTGGCTCAGCAGTTGGAGCATCGGCCTGCGGTCCAGAGAGACCCGGGTTCGGTTTCCGCTAAGGGCACGTACCTCGGTCCCCGGCCCTGGTTGGGTCATGTGGGTGGCAACCACTCGATGTGTCCCTTTCACGTCGATGTTTCTCTCTCTCTCTCCCCCTCCCACTCTATCTGAACAAAATATGTAAAAATGTCCTTGGGTGAGGATTAAAAAAAAGACAAAACTGCCTTTTCCTGGCTGGTGAGGCTCAGTGAATTGAGCTTCGTCTCATGGACTGAGAGGTCCCGGTTTGATTCTGGGGCAGGGCACATGCCGAGTTGCGGGCTTGATCCCCAGTAGGGAGCATGTAGGAGGCAGCCAATCCATGTTTCTTTCTCACATCGATGTATCTCTCTCTCTCTAAAAATCAATTTTTTGAAAATCTTAAAAAAAAAAGTACAAGCTTTCTTCTTGGGGTGATGAAAGTGTTCTAAAATTGATTATGGTGATTACTACACAATTCTTTGACAATACTACCAAACACTAACCTGTATCCTTTAAATGGGTGAATTGTATGGTATGTGAATTATTTCTCAATAAAGGTATTATTTAAAAAGCCACCCCCTCTGTAAATTTTTCCCTGAACCACCCGCCTCTACCCACCCACTCACCCAGTACAGTCCACTATCCCAAGCTCCTACGGACTCCCACATATGTGCATACTTTTAAAAAATATATGTTTTTATTGATTTCAGGGAGAGGAAGAGAAAGAAACAGAGAGAGAGAAAGAGAGAAATATTGATCACCTGCCTCTTGCACTCCCTTTACTGGGGATCGAACAGAACCAGCAACCTCCTGGTGCATGGGACGACGATCAACCAACTGAGCCACATGGCCAGACTTTTGCATCCTTTATTATATAGTACTGTTTGTACTGTATTGTTTATTTACACTAATATGTAAAACTCCAAGTTGAATGTACTTTAAGGCAGAAAATAAGCTTGATATGGGAGACGCTTAACATTTCTTGAATAATTTTCTATTCCAATCTCTTAAACAAAAACACATAGGTCTTTTACATATTTAAGAAGTGTATACAGCCATCTGGAAGCCTGCTTTTCTACTACACAGTTCATCAATGCATGGAAACTGAAGAGTGGTCACATTTGACAGTGTCATAGCATAACCCCAACTCAAAACAACATGTTTGCCTGGCTGGTGTGGCTCAATTGGTTGAATGTCATCTAATGCACTAAGAGATCACTGGTTCCATTTCAGGTCAGGGCACATGCCTGGGTTGTGGCCTGGATCCCCAGTAGGGGGCATTCAGGAGTCAGTGATGACTCTCATCAATGTTTCTCTCTCTCTCTCTCTCTCTTTCTCTCTCTCTCTCTCTCTCTCTCCCTCCCTCACTCTCCTTCTCCCTCTCCCTCCCACTCTATCTGAACAAAAAAAAATAGAAAAATGTCCTCGGGTGAGGATTAAAAAAAAGAAAAAATCTGCTGCCCAGGCTGGGTGGCTCAGTTAGTTGAAGCATCATCCCATAAACCAAAAGGTTGCAGGTTCCATTCTTGGTCAGGGCACATACCTAGGTATAGGTTCAACCCCTGGTTGAGATGTACAAGAGGCAACAGATCGATGCTTCTGTCTCACATCAACGTTAATTTCTCTTTCTCGTTTTCTCTCTCCCTTTCTCTTTCTCTAAAATCAATAAACATATCCTCAGGTGAGGGTAAAAAAAATACTGCTAAGTTTGACTACATAAAAGATTTTCTAAGGCCTAAAAAATAACAATTCATAAATAACATCAAAAGGCAAACAAATGAGAAATATGCAACATTTGATAAAAGGTAACAGGTTCCACAAAATAAAAGAAATACACAGGAAGGATATGAATAAGAGTAAAATGAAGCCCTGGTCGGTTTGGCTCAGCGGTTAGAGCGTCGGCCTGCGGTCCTGAGAGACCCGGGTTCGGTTCCCGCTAAGGGCACGTACCTCGGTTGCAGTTTGTCCCCGGCCCTGGTTGGTTGTGCGGGTGGCAGCCACTCGATGTGTCCCTTTCACGTCGATGTTTCTCTCTCTCTCTCTCTCTCTGTTCCTCTCTCTCCCTCCCACTCTACCTGAACAAAAAGTGGAAAAATGTCCTCGGGTGAGGATAAAAAAAAAAAAAGAGAAAAAAGAATAAAATGAAGAATAAATATGTGGGACAATTTCAACCATATTAATAATCAAAGAGATGAAAAACAAACAAAAGGTAGTATTCTTCTACTGTCTAGCAAATTTTAAACATTGACCAAATCATAAGCACATACAGAAGAAATGGGCCCTCCTCCTGTGCTCTTTCCGTGGCAGTATAAATTGGTACACCATTGATAAGAAGAAGTTCGGTAATAGTATCAAAATATAATATCAAGGAATGTTTGACTCACCATCACCACAGCTAAGATACTATAAGATATATTCTCATGAATATAAAAATACAGTCTAAACTACTATGGACAATAAAATAATTTATTAATGTTGATGGGTATACAATTCACATACAGAAATTCAATATTTTCATATATGCAAATAACAGTAAATTAGGAAACATCAAAAAGAGTCCAATTCCAAAGAATCAATGTGACCAGAAATATACAAGATCTAGATGAATGCAATTTAAAAACAGTCCTGAAACATACAAAGGTGGTACTGAACAAATGTAATGGTTTGTAATGTTCTTGAATAGAAATTCAATCCCTGGCCAGTTTGGCTCAGCGATGTGGGAGGCAACAAATCGATGTGTCTCTCAAACATCAATGTTTCTCTTCCTCTCCCTCCCTCCCATTCTATCTGAAAATCAATGAGAAAATATCCTCAGGTGAGGATAAAATAAAAAAAGAAGCTTGTACTATTCTCATACTAATTATTTTACTCTGCTTTATTTATTCCATGTTCCTCTCCCAAACCATGGTAAGCTAGTTAATGACAGAATCACATCATTCCCCAGAAGTTGCCACCACAGATGTTTAATGTTGGCTGGAAGCATGAAGAGCTAATAAATTTATTAAAATAGCCCTGGCCGGTTTGACTCAGCGGTTAGAGCGTTGGCCTACAGTCCAGAGAGACCCGGATTCGGTTCCCACTAAGACACGTACCTCGGTTGCAGTTTGTCCCCGGCCCTGATTGGGTCGTATGAGTGGCAGCCACTCGATGTGTCTCTTTCACAGCAATGTTTCTCTCTCTCTCTCTTCCTCTCTCTCCTTCCCAGTCTATCTGAACAAAAAATGAAAAAACAGCCCTGGCCAGTTTGGCTCAGCGGATGAGCATTGGCCTGCGGACCAGAGAGTCCCACGTTCGGTTCCCGCTAGGGGCACGTATCACAAAAAAAAAAAAAAAATTATTAAAATACTCTTTACTACTATTCAGAGAAATTCAGTGGAGAATAAATACTATAACTTTAAAAAATTTTATTAGTACCCTGACCAGGTAGCTTAGATGTTTAGAGTGTTGTCCACATACACCAAGGTTGAAAGTTCCATCTCTGGTCAGGGCAAGTATAAGAAGCAACTAATGAATGCATAAATAAGTGGAACAACAAATCAATGTTTTTCTTTCTTTCTCTCTCTCTCCCCTTTCCTCTCTCTCAAATCAATATATAAAATTTTTAACTAATTATATAAGCAACAATTTAAAAGAATGAGATTACTCAGCACCAGTGAGGACAGAGCAAAAGGAGCATTCTTTGTACCGATGGTAAGAACAAAGAGCACAGAAATCAGTATAGAAAGCAATTTGGCAGTACAAGCAAGAGCCTTAAAACAATTCCAACCCTTAGGCCTAGTAATTCTGCTTCCAAAAAATAATAAGGAATAAAGAAAGGTCTTAGGCATATAGACAAATGATTATTATAGTAATTATCTAAAATAAGAAAATGGTTAACTGAATTATGGTACAAATTATATAGACAGCCTTGGCTGGTTGCAGTGGTTAGAGCGTTAACCCACGGACCAAAGAGTCATGGGTTTGATTCCTGATCAAGGGCACATACCTTGGTTGTGGTTTAGATCCCCAGCCCCATCAGGGTCATGCAAGAGGCAACCAATCAATGTGTCTCTCTCACATCGATGTTTCTCTCTCTCTCTCTCTCTCCCCCCTCCACCCCTCCCTCCTAGTCTATCCAAAAAAAAAAAAAAAGGCCAATGGAAAAATATCCTCAGGTGAAGACTAAAGAAAAAAAATTATGTAGCCAATATAGATAATACTTGTAAAGAATTTGTAATGAGCCCTGGCCAGTTTGGCTCAGCGGTTAGAGCGTTGGCCTGCGGTCCGGAGAGACCCGGGTTCGGTTCCCGCTAAGGGCACGTACTTCGGTTGCAGTTTATCCCCGGCCCTGGTTGGTCGTGCGGGTGGCAGCCACTCGATGTGTCCCTTCACATCGATGTTTCTCTCTCTCTCCCTTCCTCTCTCTCCCTCCCACTCTATCTGTACAAAAAAAAAAAAAAAAAAAAAGGAAAAATATCCTCGGGTGAGGATAAAAAAAAAAAAGAATTTGTAATGAATAACAACACAAAAAAGTCAAGCTTTAAAACTGTACACACACACTCACACAAACATATGCTTAAAACCATGCAAAATAGCTTCAAATACATAGGGAAAAAATAGAAAGGTAATATATCAAAATTTTGATAGTTGTCTTCAAATAGTGGGTTTAAGGAAGTTTTTTTCCTTCTTTCTAACATTTTGTTTTCCCAGGTAAGTATATGCTACTTTCATAATCAGAAAATAAACAAAGGCTGAAGAATTAAAGGTAAGAATTATGGGAAGAAAGGGTCCTTACCTAGGGAGGTCACATTTCCATAATTCTCCAGCATCACATCCCAATACAAGGCCCTCTGAATTGGGCCCAGACATGCCCATTCCTCTGCAGTGAAGCATACTGATACCTCCTCAAACATCACCAACTCCTGAAACAACAGGTATGCGTGTGGTTATCCATGCCCAGGAGCTCCCCTCCTGAAAGGTTCCTTTCACACTGTGAGACCATGAGGTGGGCAATGGATACCAGGAAGATACAGGAGACCCCATATTAAGTCTGCCCTCTAATAGCATGGACCTTGATTTAGAGATGGGAATTGGACACCAAGCACTGGGACGAGAGAGGGCACTTGGTGGTACAGATAGGCCTGGGGAAGGATAAAGGATGCAAACCTCACCTGGGGCTGGGCTGTTAGGAGCATAAGTGCCATTAATTGATTTCTTGGGTTCTCTTCCTGGGAAAGGACAGAAGCTTCAGGGGCAGGATAATCTGAGGAAGGAGGAAAAGCTGCATTGAGATTTCTGCTGTTCCTGCCCACTATTCCAAGTCCAATATTTTCTACCCAAGGAATTCAGAAAGACCCAGAACGCTCATGTCTAGGCAATGATGGCTACAAAGTGACCTATAAAACTTTTATGAGTGTGACCCCCACGTGCAGGGCTGGAATAACACAAAGAGCATTAATAAGAGTGGATAAAAGGTCAGAGACCCTGAAAAAGACAAGAAGGAGAACAGAAAGAGCTTGTTACCATAAGGAATTCATATAGAAGCTACTATCTGGGAGTAGAGGGATAAGCCACAGTAAAGGTCCAAGAAAAGAAAAAAACCAAAGCCAGGGCTATTAAATAAGTACCATGTTGAGGATCCTGGAGGCTGAACACCACTGGGTCAGGAAGAGGATTTGGACAAATTTCAGCGGAAATGTGGCAACCAGTGGGTGCCTGAGGAAGTGCTCTTCCTAGAGTGCGTATGCCCTCCCGGAGAGTGTCCTGGTCCTGGACAAGGACTGGAACCTGGGAACAAACAAAACAAATAAGCTGGCTCTTCTTGTACCTCCAGACAATGGACTCACCTAACCACTGTGGACCTCTTTCTGCCCATAATCTAGAACTGTGAGATCAGAGACCCACCTCAAGTATGGAGCATCAAAACAGCAGAAAAACTGCCTTGAGAACAATGGAGCTGCCCTCTAGCCCCACTCATGGCACTGGTGACCTCTCCCAGAGGGGACTGACCAGAATGGTGGAAACAGAAGCAGACCTGGGTGTGGGTTAGGGAGGAAATGGGAAGTAACAAGCAATAATTAAGAGCATGTGTTTTAGCTTCAGACCTAGTTTTAGACCTGGTTCAGTACACTCTTCTACTTATTTACCCCTTTACTTATCCCCTCCCGCTCCAATAGAAGGAACACTAGAGTAGGAGTCTAAACACTTGGTTTTGCTGCCAGCTAGAATTCTAACGTAAGGCAATCCAGTGAACCTTTTCCACCTCCATTTTCTGGTCTCTCAAATGAGGAGGTTGTATTAGTGATGTTTAATGAAATAACAGCTCTAAAACTCTTCATTTTTACATGATTAAAACAAATGATTAAAACAAACAAGTACATCTTTGATGCCACTGCCAAGCTGGAGTTCTGTTTAAGACTTCTAATAAAAATGCTTCTAGTGGGCTACAGATTGACAAAGATCTCAAACACACTAGATACTATATTAAGATCTCAATTTAATAGTCAACCCAAGCCCAGCTGGTGTGGCTCAGTGGTGAGCATAAACCCATGCACCAAGAAGTCACCAGTTCGATTCCTGGTCGGGGCATGTGCCCAGACCATGGGCCTGATCCCCAATGGGGGGGACACACAGGAAGTGGCCAATTGACGTTTCTCTCTCTCTCTCTCTTCCCTTCTCTCTAAAATAAAGATAAAAGATGTAATAGTCAACCCAGCCCTGGCCAGTTTGGCTCAGCGGTTAGAGCGTCGGCCCGTGGACCAGAGAGTCCCAGGTTCAGTTCCCGCTAAGGGCACGTGCCTTGGTTGCAGTTTGTCCCTGGTCCCGGTTAGGGTCGTGTGGGTGGCAACCAGTCAATGTGTCTCTCTCGCATGAATGTTTCTCTATCTCTCCCTCCCTCTCTCCCTCCTGCTCTAACTGAAGATAAATGCAAAAATGTCCTCAGGTAAGGATAAAAAATAAATAAAAAATAGTCAACCCAATCATCTAGCACAGAACCCCAAGTAGGAGCACACATGGCCAGATCTATAAAACTGCATTCTTATTCTCTCACCAGGCTTACATCCTCATTGCAAACAAAGAATACATATGTTTCTGTTTGGAAGAACACTTAGAAACCTTATGTTCTTCAGGTTCTTGAACCAAACTCAGCATTAGCAAGCATCACCCTGGAGGACAGACTGCAATGGCTTTGTGTTGATTCTGAATTGGGCCCGAAGATCCCAGTCATACCTTAATTTCCTTGCAAAGATATAATGCAGTCTGAAAAGCTCATGAACCTGTTTTAATTAGCATTAGGGTTGCTAATGTGCTACTGTTAATGAAAACACTCACCCTCCAGCCTAGCCTGCCCTACCTGAATTTTCTCCTTCCTTACATCCCAAACTCTTCCCCCTACCCCTTTCTCACTTTTAGTGCTGGTCCATCAAGATCTTTCTGCAGCTCTTCTACCAGGGCCACGGCCTCCTCACCACTCCCAGGGCGATGGATCTGCACCCAGGTCCGAATCTCCCCAGGCAGGATGCTCAGGAACTGCTCCAGCACCAGAAGCTCCAGGATCTGGGCCTTGGTGCGTGCTTCTGGCCTTAGCCACCGGCGACAGAGCTCCCGGAGCCGGCTCAGTGCCTCCTGGGGTCCAGATGTCTCATGGTATCGTAATTGTCTAAAGTGCAGATGGGAGGTCTCCCAAACAGAGGAGCTGCTCCCTTGGAAGCTGGTTCCCCATTTCCAGGTATCGTCCTTCCCTTTGACAAGACCCTCTTGTCTCAGAGCATTGTGGGCCCAGTTTTCTCTGGTCATTGTCTTCATTTAAGAAAGCCTCTTCTCCAGACCCTCTCAATCCTTGCTTGACTTCTTCCTTAGAGCTTGGAGAACATCACCTACAAGACCTCAAAAAAAATCATTGTTAAAGTTAACCCAGTGAAACAACCAAGTTTTCCAGAACCCAGTCAGCTCCAGTGATGAAGAGAACATCCCTGAATGCAAGGTTCTAGGCTCTTAGCAGTGCCTCCTTTAACAGAAGCCCCTGGCCCAAGGCTCTGGGGACACTAACAAGGTCAACCAGACTACTGCTGAAACCAGGCATGAAATCCCTTTGGTATTTAATCACAGAGCATCCTCCACCTAATTACAACAAATCCTTTATCCAGTGCTCCAAAAAGCATCCTGGCTAGGCCTGTGTGATTTTGAACAAGTTACCTTACTTCTCAGTGTTAGTTTCTTAACCTGAAAAATAGGAGTAAATACAGTTCTGATCTTACAGACTTGTAAGAATTTGATGTCTAAATACATTTTAAGTTTTTAAACAGTGCCTGGTATATGGATTCAAACATCAGTTATCCTTCTGTAACTTGCATCCTTTCCTATGTTCTGCAGAGTCAGCAAGTAATCATGGGTCTTAGTCCTGATACAGATGAGATAAAATCCTAATACTTCAATTAACAAAGAAAGGCTGAATTAAGTTTTGTGTAGCTTTACTGTACATACTTTAAATTCTCTGAAAATTGTTCATTGTGTTAATCAAACATTTGGACAAATTTGAATACGATTTTATTATACAGAATTTAGGCTTGTTGCTCTCTAGAAATTTTCTGTTTTTTTAAAGAAATAAATGGGTCATATATATATTTTTTTTTAATCCTCACCTGAGGACATTTTTTCCATTTATCTTCAGATAGAGTAGGAGGGAGGGGGGAAGAGAGAGAGAAACATCAATGTGAGAGAGACATATTGATTGGCTGCCTCCTGTATAGGCCCTGACCGGGGTGGGGGATCAAACCTGTGACCCTTGAGTCCATGGGCCTATGCTCTAACTGCTGAGCCAAACCGGCTAAGGCTGAGCCCATTAATATTTAAGGAGTCTCCTGTTGTTATACATTTAACTTATTTATAATTTTCCCCTATTATAAATTAGGCCACAATGACTATCCTTGCTATTAAATTTTTGGTTACATAACTGTTTATTTCTTCAGGAAAAATTCCCAGAAAAAAATTGTTGGGTCAAAAAAGGCACAAATGGTTTTGTTTTTAGATTTTTTTTTTTGTATTTTTTTTAGAGAGATAGAAACATCGATGTGAGAGAGAAACACTGATCGGCTGCCTCCTGGATGCCCCTTCTGGGGATCAAGCCCACAACCCAGGCATGTGCCCTGACCCAGAATCAAACCGGGACCTCTCAGTCCATGGGATGATGCTCAATCCACTGAGCCACACTGGCTGGGCCGCACAAATAGTTTTAAGCTTTTAAGGTTATAAGGGTTATATCACTATCAATTTTATTTAATACATGGCCCCTTAAAACTCATGCTTATAACTGAGCAAAGGAGGCAGAAGTATAAACACAATTTCTATATAATGTAAAGTATTAATTAACAGGAGGACATCAGAAAGAATTCAGGCAGGTAATTTTGGATTGGGCTTTAGAAGGAAAATGAAAAGACCACTGAGGTAATTAGGAAAGCCATTCCAGGAAGAAAGAAACTATAATTTCAAAATCAAAGGAGTAACATACAGGTCTGTTGGAAATGTGCTTTGCAAACCAAAAAAAGGAAGGAAACTTTGGAGGTAAGGTTGTAGGAGCAGAGTGGAGAGATAAACAGTCAAATTCTCAAGACTGTTGAGAGGCAGAACAAGAAGGTGATCACGTACTGTAAGTGACAAGCACCAGTAAAGAGCTTTTACTCTAGTCTGTGTTGTTTTTTTAAAAATAGGTAATGAGCCCTGGCTGATTGGTTCAGCACCAGGTACAGTTTCCGCTAAGGGCACATACTTCGGTTGCAGTTTGGACCCGGCCCTGATTGGGGTTGTGTGGATGGCGGACAGTCAGTGTGTCTCTCTCACATCAATGTTTCTCTCTCTTTCTCCCTCCCTCTCTATCTGAAGATAAATGCAAAAATGTCCTTGGGTGAGGATTAAAAAAAAAAATTAAAAATAGGTAATGTTTTCACTTGGTTTAAAGTTAAAATCATAAGGTGCATAGTGTAAAGTTTCTCTCTCCTCATTCATCTCTTATGTATCTTTCCAGCTATATATGTATATATAAGTATGTACAGACAATTGTTTTGTACTTCCTTTTTCTCACAAATGATAGAACACCAGGAATCATGAACTGCATCTTCATTTTCTCAATTAACAATGTATCTTAGAGATCTTCCTTGTTGGTACATAGCTCCCCTCTTTTTATAAATATATTTACCCAACCTCAGCACTGATCCACAAAGTAACTCAAAAACTGGACTTCACTAAAACACAAACTTCTGCCTGGCTGGTGCGGCTCAGTGGTTGTGCATCGACCCATGCACCAAGAGGTCACCGGTCAATTCCCAGTCAGGGCACATGCCCAGGTTGTGGGCCAAATCCCCAGAGGGGACATGCAGGAGGCAGCCAATTGATGTTCTCTCCCATCGATGTTTCTCTCTCTCTCTCCCTCTCCCATCCTCTTTCTCTAAAAAATATAAAGAAAAAAAACCCCACAAAACTTCTGCTCTGCAAAAGGCAAAGACAAGAGAATAAGACAAGCCACAGACTGGGAGAAAATATTTGCAAAAGACACTCATATCTGACAAAAGATTGTTACCCTTTGTATATTTCATACAAAGGACTCTTAAAACTCAACAATAAGAAATCAAGTAAAAAATGGCCCTAAGACCTTAACAGACGCCTCACCAAAAAAAAAAAAAAAAAAAAAAAACCAATTCCAAATAAATGCATGAAAACATGCTCCACATCATATGTCATCAGGGAAATGCAAATTAAAAAATGAGATACCACTACATGCCTATTAAAATGGCCAAAATCTAGAACACTGACAGCACCAAATGCTGGTGAGCATGTGGAGCAACAGGAGCTCTCATTCACTGCTGGTGGGGATGTAAAATGGCACAGCCACTTTGGAAGACAACTTGGCAGTTTCTTACAAAACTAAACATATTCTTACCATATTATCTAACAACTGCACCCCTTGGTATTTACTCAAAGGAGTTGAAAACATATGTCCACACAAAAACCTGCTCTTGGATGTTTACAGTAACTTTATTCATAATTGCCAACATCTAGAAGCAAACCAGATGTCTTCCTGTAGGTAAATAAACTGTGGTACATCCAGACAATGGAATATTATTCAGCACTATAAAGAAACAAGCTTTCTTTTTAAAAAATGAAAAGACATGGAGGAAACTTAAATACTAAGTGAAAGAAGCTAATCTGAAAAACATTATATACTGTATAATTCCAACTATATGGCATTTTCAAAAGGCTAAACTATGAAGACCGTAAAAAGATCAGTGGTTGGCAGGGGTAAAGAATGATGAATAGGCAGAGCACAGCGGATTTTTAGAGCAGTGAAATCTACTCTATATGATACTACAGGGTGGAGCAAAAGTAGGTTTATGGTTGTTCATACGGAAAATACAATAATTAATAAATAATAATACAAGAGTAAACTGTTTTGTGTACTCGCAACTGTAAACCTACTTTTGCCCAACCCTGTATAATGGTGGATACAAGTCATTCTACATTTATCAAAACCCAAAGAATGACCCTGGCCGGTTTGGCTCAGCGGTTAGAGCATTGGCCTGTGGTCCAGAGAGACCCGGGTTCGGTTCCTGGGGCACGTACCTCGGTTGCAGTTTGTCCCCAGCCCTGGTTGGTCGTGAGGGTGGCAGCCACTCGATGTGTCCATTTCACGTCGATGTTTCTCTCTCTCCTTCCCACTGTGTCTGAACAAAAAAAAAAGGAAAAATGTCCTCGGGTGAGGATAAAAAACAAAACAAAAACAAAAACAAAAAAAAACAAAGAATGTATAACACCAAGAGCGAACCCCAACGCAGCCTATGGACTTTGGATGATAATGATGCGTCAATGCAGACTAATCAATTCTAACAAATGTACCTCTCTGGTGGGGGAATGTTAATATGGAGAAGGCTGTGCATGAGTGGGCACAGGGAGTACAGAGGAACTCTCTGTACGTTTTGTTCAATTTCCTGTAAACCTAAAACTGCTCTAAAAAAGTAAAGTCTATTAAAATAAATATATGCACACATGCATACATACAATCTGTAAAAAATAGACTTCTAAATAATGTTTTACAGTAAATAATCAGAACTCTTACTTTGCAGATACAAGTAACAAATACTTAAACATGCATTTTGTTTGCTTCTCTCAAAGGGTTTGTGAGCCATAAGTTAAAAAGAACAAAAAAAGACTCAGAGGAGCTAAGTGATTCAGCTAGTTAAGCTGCAAGCAAGTGCTGACTTCTGGGGCTCTAATCCCAAAAGTCCAACTGATGCCACCTAAGACAAGCCCTCTAAAACCCAAACAAATATTCTAAAGCAATGGTTTCCCAATGATAGTTCATGATCAAGTTTTAATCTGGCAAATTGTAGAACGAAAATAAAACAATAATCCTATACACATCGCCACCGACAGGTTGGCAACGACCTTTCTTGCAAAGGACAGCATTTACTCTGAGTTTTAGGGTTTCAGTAGCGTTAAAATATATTTTCTTACGTAATGGAGGTACAGGTAGCGTTTTAAATACCATTATATTACAAAATGAAAAGATGGGACTTGGTTCATCGCCCTACAGAAAGAAAAGTCCCCAGCAGTCCGGAGCCACTGCTCCCGGGATGCATCGGCCTCGGCCGGGACCCTGGACACGGAGGCGGCCGTCCTCACTGCGGCAATGCGTGCTGTTCGACTCGGCACGGGTCCAGGGACACAGACCCACTGCTGCTGGCGTCAAAACCTGCCCGCGCCGGCGGCTGCCTAAGTCGAGGCCACGGCGTCCACCTCAACCCGGAGCTGAGGAGGGCCAGTGCTGGGGGCCAGCGGCGGGGAGGAGGGCCCGGCAAGGAAAGCACCGCCCCGGCGAGCTCCAGCCCGCACCCCGGGCCGCCCTCCGCGCATGACCACCCGCCCCGAGCCCACCCGCTCACCGGGGATCCGGTGGCGGCTCCGGCTTTGGGTACCGTCGCCTAGGAGCCGGGACGCCGGGAGACGACTGGAGAACAGGACGCTATAGCAGCTGAGACCCAGAATAATGGAGGACCCGCGGGTACCCCGACTTCCGGCTGTTCACCACGCCCACTCCTCTCTAGGAAGTCACATCTCTATGGCAGCGCTCAAGAGTCCTTGGGTCTTGGTTCCTCCCAGCGAAAGGGGATGGGGACCCGCCACCTCCCAGACAGGAAGGATGCCCATGTTGCCTCCTGAAGAAGCTGGACCTTTCCGTTTTAATTTGCATTTAAAATGAGACTGTTTGGGAGTAATTTCTCAAATTCACCTTCTGGGCACCTTCCCCATCTATTCTTGAACCTATGGCAGTTCTTACCATAAATAATAACATGGCTTATAAATTACCCCCTTGAGAATTTGCTTACTTGCCCAAATGATGAGATAATGCACCATTTTATCTCTGAGATCAACACAACCCATCTCTGTGGTTCTCCTGTTCAACTCTGTCTTAACTTGGCAGGAGGGAACAGTTGATCTTATATTTTAGGGAGGGATGAATTTTACCAGATCCTTTGTCACAGATCAAACACATACCGATCTACATTAAAACCAAGCCTGGTAGAATGGAGTTTTATACAAAGGTGGGAAACACAACCTTAACATTCAGACGGGGATTTCCATATTAGTTGATGAAGATTCTGAGGTCTTAGCCTCGTCTTGAACTGTCAGCACTCTGTCTCCAGCCTCTTCTCTAGTACCTATATCTCTATGATATTTATACCCTTACACCAAACTAAACATAACTTTGTTTCCTCTGGTAAGACCCTAAGGAAAATATCCACAACAAAGAATAAATCTGTCACCCCCCAAAGGCATTTATTGGGTTGACATATCCCTGAAGATACCTGGTGTAGTTATCAAGGGTTTCCAGAGAAACAAACAATAGGAGATAGATGTACAAAATTGGCTCACACAATTATGGAGGCTGATAAATCCCAAGATCTTCAGTACATAAGCTTGAGACCCAGGAGAGCCGAAGGTATGGTTCCAGTTCAAGTCTAAAGGCCTCAGAGCAGAACTGATGGTGAAAATCCCAGACTGAGTCCAAAAGCAGACCAAAGTCCCAGCTCAAAAACACCTAGAAAGAGAACAAATCCTTCCACTACATTTTCGTTCTATTCTGGTCTCCAACAGATTGAAGGAGGCCATATTGGAGAGGGCAATCTGCTTTACTCAGCCTACCAATTCAAATGTTAACTTCATCCAGAAACATCCTCACAGACACATCCACAATACTTTGTAACCAAATATCTGGGCATCTTATAGTCAAGTTGGCCCATAAAATTAACCGTCACACTTGGATTGCTCCAAATATAGTTTGAAGTGGTAGTTTTAGAACAGTTTATCTAGGCCCTGAAGGGCACCCATGGTGGACAGATTCTGGTCAGTGTCACTTAGAAGAACTCAGATTTGGATGTCCATCTTGGAGATAATCCCACCCCCACCCACGTTTACATGCTCAGGAAGGAATCTTGTAGGAATGAGGGAACTCACAATAAAGGGAAAGTTGAAAAAGGGTACAGATCACCTGAGAAAAGCCAAACTATTTCTATCCTAATTGCATTATGAGCAGTGTAGAGGACATTTTGCTGCACTGTCTGGATTCCTCTAGATTGTCCTGTTTTCCCCCACCTCACTGTAGAGATAGGCTGAAAACCCTCATTGTCTGCCCTTTTCAGGAACTTACTTCCAAACACATTCACTGAAGAAGTCTACCTCACCCAAGATCATGCTTCCCTTCCAGATAACGTGGTAGAGCAGGTACTCAATAACTGGTCAATGAAGGGTATAAAGGCCCACATCTCTCACCGCAGTTTGGACAGTTTTGAAAGGTTATCCCAGTCTAACGGAGTAACTCTGTGACTGCATCACAGCTAACTTCTCCTACTACTAATCCTGCTTTCTTCCCTCTCCCTACAGGTATTAATCCTAATAACACTCTCCAGTAAATTTGCTGCATGTTATCCTGTCTGAATTTACTTTCCATAAAGCTCAACTCAAAAACAATTAGATAACTCAATTTTGAAAATTGTGTTAATTTTTAAGTACCTGTTCCATACATACTTAGAAATGTATGTGCCTAATGTCATGTTACTTTCACTGGAGTGTAGCCCTATAAACATCTGGGCTTCTTCTAGAGATCTCAGTTCCAATTCTCCACCTTCTCCAAGCCCCAAAACTCAAATCTTGTCCTTGTGGCTGATAAAATCTGGGTCCCTTGGACCAAGATCACCACAAAGCTACCTCATGTCACTCAAAGCATCATCACCCACTTACCTCTCTGGCTTCCACTTCATTTTAGCCTCTGAGGATTTATGCCACTTTTTAAAGTCTTTTTAAAGAATGTTTAAGTTGACCAGCTGGTGTGCCTCAGTGGATTGAGCATCAGTCCTCAAGAGGTCACTGGTTTGATTCGCGGTCAGGGCACATGCCCAAATTGCGGGCTCAATCCCCGGTATGGGGTGTGCAGGAGGCAGCCCATTGATGTTTCTTTCTCCCCCTCTCCCATCTTCTCTCTAAAAAATCAATAAAAATATTTTTTTTAGAACAAGGATGTTTAGCCCTGGCCGGTTTGGCTCAGCGGTTAGAGCATCAGCCTGCGGTCCCGAGAGACCCGGGTTCAGTTCCCGCTAAGGGCATGTACCTCGGTTGCAGTTTGTCCCCGGCCCTGGTCGGTTGTGCGGGTGGCAGCCACTCGATGTGTCCCTTTCACATTGATGTTTCTCTCTCTCTCTCTCTTCCTCTCTCTCCCTCCCACTCTACCTGAACAAAAAATGTCCTCGGGTGAGGATAAAAAAAAAAGAAGAAGGATGTTTATGTTTTACCTCGTATTTCAGGTTGCTTTGTAGTCAAAGAGCTTTATGATTACCTAGCTTGTCATATCGTTCTACTGTATCTTTTAAAATATGAATCTGCTCACCCTGGCCGGTTTGGCTCAGCGGTTAGAGCGTTGCCCCACAAACTAAAGTCCCAGGTTCGGTTCCTGCTAAGGGCATGTACCTCGGTTGCAGTTTGTCCCTCACCCCATGGGGTTGTGTGGGTGGCTGCCAGTTGGTGTGTCTCTCTCACATCGATGTTTTTCTCTCTCTTCCTCTCTCCCTCTTGATAAAAATAAAATAAGAATCTGCTCAATTCTGTGGTTAAGCCAACACTGCAATTGTGACAACATTTTCTTTCAGACTCAGTGAACTGGTTGCTAATTTGTCACAATTATACAAACTTTGGTATGTCTCACTAATTTTGGGATCCATAGATTCTTCTGCAGAAAATTATTACAAAAATAGTCATGTAAGATGACAAGGCTCCTAATAAAATTTTTTCTTCAACCCCCACTGCAAAAGTTTTGTTTTAAACAGATTCCTAGGCCCTGATCCAGATGTGCTGACTTGGTGCATATGGGAAATTTATCTAAATGTATGAAATCACCTCCTGGGATTCCCAGATTTGGAGTCCACTGGCCTTAGTTTCAGAAACTGGTTACAGCTTTTGCATGTCTGCAATCCATACAGTCAACTGTGCCATGTGGACTTGAAATGGTCAGTGGGAAGACAGACCAGTCAGGTCCTGTATCTATGTGTCCAGAAAGGAGTCTGCATTTCCTTTTTCACCCCACTATACCTCCCTTATGAAGCTGAAAGGGACTTCGGGAACATGGCTAGTTTTATACAGATAACTGAGGTCCAGGTAATAGTGTGGGTATGAAACACAGAATGAGGCCAGAGAGGAGGCGGGACAAGTGGCTGTACCAGTGATCCAAGGGACTAAGGAAAGGACATTCTCTAATGGCTAAAGAACTCTCATTTAAGAACTACAAGTATGAAAACAAGTGTTATTTGCATTTGAATCAGAAACAAACCAGAATCACTTCATTCCAAAAAGCATCTGCTTAAAGAAAAGCAAACTGAACCATTTGCTTCCTATTCTGGAACAAAGGAAGGAAGCAAAAAGAAAAAAAAAAAAAAAATCAGTGATATTTATAACAAGTAAATAACAACAGATATTTACTGGTGGAATTAGAACTACTTCCTGCAAAAAAGTTTTATGACTCCAGTTTTATAACTGTTATGAGGATTAAATGAGACAACACGTCCTCAATAGTTCCTGGAACAATAAATTACCATGTGCATAAGACAAATGGCACTAGGCTTAGGGGTTCACTGTATATATTAAGTATGGGGAGATTCTAAGGGTTCCCAGATGGATTTTGAGCTAAGGACTCAAAATTTTATTTATTTTTTATTTTATTTTATTTTTATCCTCACCCGAGGACATTTTTCCATTTTTTGTTCAGGTAGAGTGGGAGGGAGAGAGAGGAACAGAGAGAGAGAGAGAAACATCGATGTGAAAGGAACACATCGAGTGGCTGCCACCCGCACAACCGACCAGGGCCGGGGACAAACTGCAACCGAGGTACACGCCCTTAGTGGGAACCGAACCCGGGTCTCTCAGGACCGCAGGCCGATGCTCTAACTGCTGAACCAAATCGGCCAGGGCAGGACTCAAAATTTTAAAATGTTGGTTAAAATGGTCTAAGGCCTTCTTGGAGGGCTGAACATGAAGAAAGGCACAGGAAGCTAGTGAACACCTGCAGAACTAACTGTTCAGCATCCCTTCCCTCTTCTGGGAAAGGCCTTCCTCGAGGATAAAAGGAAAAAAGAACCAGATGACAGTCTCAGCTCCTTTCCTCACTTCCTGAGTTTGAAGGAGTTGTGTGAAGAGCTTGCAACTGCGGCCACCGTCTTGCAACCATGAGGTTGCAAAAAATGAAAGCCCACGTGCTGAACATTATGGGGTTAAGATGGAAGTTTGATGAATTTCTGACTTGCCAAACAAAATTTGGAACAGCTTACCTAGACTTTCCCGTAAGTAAACAATGTTCTTAAGGTTTAAGTACTTGGTATCGTGTTCATTGCACCTGAAAATATCCTAAGTGCCACCTCAAGTAGAACTCTACTGGGATCATTCTTGCAAAATGTTTAGAAACAATGCTCCAACGTCCTACACTTGAGCAATTATTATTTACCATATTTCCCGCTTCTCACACATTACACGCATTATTCTCATTTAATCCTCACGACAACCCTGTGAGGGAGGTAGTCAACCTTTTTATAGATACATCTGAGGCTAAGGGCAGTTAGTGACTTGTCAAAAATTCACAAGCTACTGTGTCAGTGGGATTGGAACACCTGTGTCTCTGACCCGAGTCTACACTTTCAGCTACTAAACTTTACATAACATGTGAAGGCATCTTCCCCTAGTTTTAGATTAGGTTGACTGTATCTCTTTAAAGGTTATGGACCTGCAATTGTTTCAATTTCACAAGAACACAATTGTGCTGGTTTTGTGAATGCATATTGAAAAGTCGAAGCCTCTGTGGGTCTCTCTTACTTGCAGAACCTTCTACAACTGTGGGAGAGGAGGAGATAGTAAGTTTTTGCTGTGCTCTATTAACCTAACAGTGAGTAAGTAAATGGATATACATTTTGTTGACAACTATAAAGTTAGCCTATCTTAAAGCTGAAAAAAGACCAAGGACTGGTGTTTATGCTTTTACTAAACAGGAAACAGGCTCTAAAAGGAAGTGACTTGCTCATGGTTGCATTGTCACTACGTGCCAGTATTCGGACTTTAGAGCCTATGTTCCATGCACCTTCCCTAACACTGGTTAGCGAAAATGAACATGTACCTATTGCATTTTTAAAATACTGTACTTCTCCCTAAATATAAAAGTAGGACATTCTCATTGTAGAAATGTAAAAAACATAGAAAAGTATAACGAAAATAGAAATCACTCATAATCCTATCACCCAGAGATAATCACTGTTAATATTCTGGTCTGGTATTATTTCCTTCCCATTTTTTCCTATGCATAAATGTGTTGTTTTTTAATTTGGATCATACTTCATTGTTTTTTTTCTTTTACCTTCCATTTTATCCAAATCATTTCCCCCATGGTATTAAATATTCTTTAAAAACCTTTACAATGGCTGAAAAACCATCCTATAGATAGAACTTCATTAATTTAAACCCTGTACTGTTGAGAACCTAGTTTTTTTCCTTTATATACCTTGCTGACATGAGTATCTCTTCTGTTAATACGTGTCTACCTGATTACTTTCCCTGCATGGATTCTTAGAAATAGAATTAAGGTGGATGATACTGAAAAACTGCTATTCTGTAAAGTAGCAGTTAATCCTTCTATCAACAATAGTGTTATTTATGGGTTTCCTTCTCCTCCGTATGTTTTCTCTGGTGTTGAATAAGCTGTGAGCTATAACGATAGGCTCTCCCACACTCACTGCATTTATAAGGTTTCTCCTTAGTGTGGGTTCTCAAATGTAGAATAACTTGAGAAGTCTGCCTGAAGGTTTTTCCACATTCATTACATTTATAGGGTTTCTCTCCAGTGTGAACTCTCTGATGATCAATAAGGTTCCGATTAGAAGTAAAAGCCTTCCCACACTCATTACATTTGTAAGGTTTCTCTCTACGATGAAGTCTCTGATGTTCACTCAGGGTCTTCCTTAAGATGAAAGCTTTTCCACACTCATCACATTCATAAGGCTTCTCCCCGGTGTGAGTTCTCTGATGGTCCATAATCTTTGTATTAGACACACACGTTTTCCCACACTCCTTACATTTGTAAACTTTTTTTCCGTTGTGCATCCTCTGATGTTGAGTAAGGTTTGAGCTACGGCTAAAGGCTTTCCCACACTGGATGCAGGTGTACGGCTTCTCCCCAGTGTGAACTCGGTGATGGGAAATGAGACCTGAACTCCGGCTAAAAGCTTTCCCACACTCCTTGCATTCATACGTCTTCTCCCCACTGTGGATTCCCTGGTGCCGAATGAGGTGCGACTTACCGCTGAAAGATTTCCCGCACTCACTGCACGTGTAGGGCTTCAGTCCAGTGTGGATTCGCCGGTGGACAACAAGGTTGGAGCTATGACTGAACGCTTTCCCACACTCCTTACACTCGTAGGGTTTCTCTCCTGTGTGGACTCGCTCATGCACCGTAAGGTTTGCACTCTGACTGAAGGCTTTCCCACACTCAGCACACACATACTGTCTCTTTGCAGCCTGAGTTCCCTGGTTTGTTGCAGGGTCAGAGTGCTGGCTACCATCTTTTTCAGATTCCTGGTCACTCACAGAAGTCTTATTGTCTTTGACTGTCTTATGTTTGAAGTTTCTCATCTTTCTCATTTTCTCTTGCTGGGAGCATCCCAGTGGCCTTCGGAGTCTTTTCTTTCCCTTCAGTGGAGCTTTCTAGAATTTGACTTCCTTGGCAGCACCTCTGTGGAGTTCTCTTGAATGTATGAGATTCTGACTTTTCAGGAATGGTACTTTGGAATCAACCTCCTCAGGCCCAGTTTCACCATCTGAGAGAAGAAAGAGAAATTGCACGTCACCTGTTCTTCATACTAGTGGAAGAAGAATTATCTAAGGATTACAAGATGAGGTAGATAACAGGGTCTCCCATGGAAGAGTATGTGTTCAAAGGCAGGGGGAACTGATCAAAAAAGATGAGAAAATGAGGTTAGACAGAGACCAAGGTAAAGAATATGGACCACAGGTCCAACATCAGAATGAGCAATGAGTAGTATAAAATCCACCCTGGTTTCTTCCTGTCTCGTGTTCTACTTCCAGAATTGGAGCCATCTAACTCCTAATCTAGTCCCTGGAAAAAATGAACCGAAAGACCCTTTGCTCATTTACTCAAATAACTAATCTTTAGATCACTCTGGCTTTGAGTTCTTGTGCACCTACTTCCCTAGCACCAGTGCTACAGTGGCTGGCACAAAATAGTTAGTTGCTCAAGAAATGTTTTATGGAATAGCAACTGGGATTCTGTCCTAGGGCGCGCCGAAGATTTCATTTTCATCCAGGTACTAGGCCCCTGTCTACATCCTCATTCTTAGGCCCTGTCTTGATTAAGGAGTCTCGCAATACTGGAGCCTAGTCACATCATAGCCTGATCTGCAGGGCCTGGACCATAACGGGATCCAGTGTATGTGCTAATTCAGTCTGTCTACTTCGTTCCAAGCTATCACTCTGAGATACTGAGTCTACTGGGTAAGCCTGAGAGGCTGAACAGGGAAGAGGATTAGTTCAAGTACAGCAGGGGGATTCTGATAGGGACTCCCTGCATGGCATAATGATAAAGTTTCTAAAGATGGCATAACGGTGAAAGTAGGGGACAGCACAACCAAGAGGGGCTGATCATGAAACCAACCTCAGGAATGAGCAGAAATTTCCCTACAGATTTTTAAAATTTTCACTGAATTTTTGGGGTGATATTGGTTAATAATATTATATAAGTTTTGGGTATACAATTCTATAATACCTCATCTGTACATTGTATTGTGTGTTGCCACCTAAGTCAAGTCTCCCTCCATCACCATTTATCCCTCTTTACCCTCTCCCTACAGGGTAGATGTGAAACTCTAAATATACATATAACCCTAGCAGACCTCAAAGCTAGAGGGAGTTGAGTCATAAAAGAAAACTGAAAAATGACCCCATGATACTAACACATGACTAATTTTCCTTTTACTACGTTCCTTTCTAGATGTGTTCATATTCATATTTATATGGTCATAAATAAACAGTAAATATAATTTTGCATCTTAAATTTAATTTCTGTATTTTTCAACATTGCTGTTTAATCTTCCTATGATCATTTTATTTTATTATTTAAAAAAAATTGTTTTCCTTTATTGATTTTAGAGAACAGGAATGGAGAGGGAGAGTGCGACAGAAATATCAATGAGAGAGTATTGACTGGCCACCTCCTGCATGCCCTCCACTGGGGATTGGGCCCACAACCTGGGCATGTGTCCTGACTGGGAATCAAAGTGGTGACCTCTGGGTGTATCAGATGACGCTCAATCAACTGAGCCACACTGGCCGGGCCCCACTCTGCATCCTTTTTTTCAATCCTCACTCGAGGACATTGTTTCCATTTATCTTCAGATAGACAGGGAGGGAGGGGGAGAGAGAGAGAGATAAAAACATTGACATGAGAAAGACACATCAACATGTTGCCTCCTGCTCAAATCCCCCCAGGGCCCATGGACGAACCGCAACCGAGGTATGTGCCCTTGGCCAAAATCAAACTGCGACCATGTGTTTCTCAGGCTGATGCTGTAAGTGCTGAGCCAAACCGACCAGGGCTACATTCTTTTTCTACTTTGCTATTTGGCTCTCTTGTCACTTCCCTTCCCATTTTCACTTGTCAAGAATATGTTTCACTTGTCAAGAAAAGAATAAAATTTTTTTCAAGTATTAACATTCATTTCCCCTAGTTCCCATACTTCCCTCCACCCCTAGTACATTCACATTTTTCTCAGCTTCATGAAATAGAAAAGCACGAGAGAGGCAGCTGGGGTATCCCAGGAGGAGTAAAATGAGGGAAATAGAAAGAATCCAAGAGAAGCCACCTAGGAGTAGGATAAACAACTATACTGGTTTTCCCAGAATAGTGCTGGTTGATACCTATTGTTCTGGCATCGTTATTAATAGTGCCTCCCCACATCCTGCCCTGGCCGGTTTGGCTCAATAGAGCGTTGGCCCGTGGACCAAAGAGTCACGAGTTCGATTCCGGTCAAGGGCATGTACCTCGGTTGCGGTTTGTCCCCGGCCCTGGTCAGGGTTGTGCAGGAGGCAACCAGTCGATGTGTCCCTCTCACATTGATGTTTCTCTCTCTCCCCCTCCCTCCCACTCTATCTGAAGATAAATAGAAAAATGTCCTCGGGTGAGGATTAAAAAAAAAAAATAGTGTCCCCCTTTAACTCACAAAAGTATCCCAGTGTGGACAATAAATTTTGTATCACCCTATACCCAAAAGTTAAATTAGAAAAAGAATACTTTAGGAAGATTTCCCCAGATGGATTAAAGGTGAAAAAAAGGAAGGAGGAAAGGAAATGAGTTGGGGGAGCCACCTGAGAATGCAGTATGGGTGACCATTAGAGGCCTGCCACTTTCTAGGTGCCCAGTAAATGTTTGCTGAAGGAATAAACAAATGAATGAAATTGTGAGGTCCTAGTCCAGGAAAATGACAGGATAGAGAACAATGAAGTCCAGCAAATACATGAAAGCATACACACATATCAGATTAAATTCAGCAGATGACTGAAGGAAAGAATTCAAGATCTAGGTCTGAATATCAAGAATGGTAATGTCACTATGAAAGAGGGATGAGAAAACACTTTTGATAAGAAGAGGAAGAATATGTCAGGAATGCTAATTTGAGAATGATAAGACAGAGGAAGTCACAAAAATATATAAGCTTGCTAAGATGGAGATTTTAGTTAGAAGGGCAGGTAGAGAGAAAGAGAAATGCACAGAATGTCCTATAATGAAGCCCAGGATGGTTCTGAGGGACCTAAGGTGGAAGCAAGACTTGTCAGGAGATGGGGAGGACTAGTCTGAGGACAGTTTCAACAAAAGGAAACCTAACTAGCCTGGCTGGTGTGGCTCAGTGGTTGAGTGTCGACCCATGTACTAGGTCACCGGTTCAATTCCCAGTTGGGGCACATGCACAGGTTGTTGGCCAAATCCCCAGTGGGGGGCACGTAGGAGGCAGCCAATAGATATTCTTTCTCATCAATGTTTCTATCTCTCTCTCCGTCTCCCTTCCTCTCTAAAATCAATAAAGAAGAAGAAGAAAAAAAAGGAAACCGAACTCTCAGCCCTCTGCCCGATTGCATAGGAAACTCCCTCAAAAATCCTGGAAGAATTCCCACGGACTGAAGAGGTGGGGTCTTGGCTAGAGAAATAGGAGAGACGGATGAGGCTACAGGGCCAGCAGGACATTAGAGGTATCCAGGCAACTCTGCACACAAGCACAATCTCAAGACAACCAGCAAATGAATGAGGACCAATGAGGCCCCACAGATCTCTGACCCACAAATCCCTGAGACTGATGGGTGAATGTTCTGATCTCAGGACCACCATTCATTTCATGCTATATGGAATCCATAATGGACAGAGTCATATCACACACACACACACACACACACACACACACACACACAGTTTTACCTAGGGAGATTGTATTCCTTTAATTCGTCAGGATCTCCTTCCTGTTCAGGTCCCTCTGAGCAGTGGTCACATGGTCCTTGATTATTGATTCACTGCAACAGAGTGAAGAATAAGAGGCAATACTTAAAAATAAATTCCAGAGGAACAGATGGACACAATGTAAGAATTGAAAGGAAGAAAAGAAATATCAGGGGACTATTCACTTTCAGGGAAAGGCTTATGCCTTGAGCATAAAACAAAGGCTTACACCGTAACAGCAAACTGATAGATTTGACTATATAAAAATTTTGTACTTCAGCCCTGGCCGGTTTGGCTCAGCGGTTGGAGTGTAGGCCTGCGGACCACAGAGTCCTGAGTTCGGTTCCCACTAGAGGCACATACCAAAAAAAAAAAAGTTTAAACTTGTAATGTAAACTAGAGTTGCCTAATACTATAATTATTTATGTGTATGTCTGTGTCCCTCCTCATATTTGTATGTGGCTCCCACCCAGTGCCTACCACAAAGAGGGTCGTTAATGCTGTGTGATTTGAAATATTAAATTAAACAAGTTCAGGACTCTATCTTAATTCTATCTGGGTGTAGGACCGGTGAGAAGTGCATCCTCCACACATGACCACCACCATCCCTCCTCCACCTGGTTCATCCTTTTTGTGCTCCATGTTGTTTGAACACTATGGTAATGTATTTGCACTTTTGGTAATTCTGTCTCAACAGGGCCATCAAAGGGCCTAAGTTCCCTAAGAGATTGACCTAGTCCAACTACTCAGAGATTCTCAGAATGTCAGAGCTGGAAGGAATCTCCCAGGCCACCTAGTTTTATACCAAAATGTGGATATAGGGAAACTGGAACTTAGATTGGAGCTGGGACTCAAGTCCAAATCTCCCGACATCACCCTTCCCCCCATCCCAAAACTCTACTCCTCAAGGTTCAGAACCTCCCCAACCTCCACCCCACATTTCTCTCTCTTCCTAGATAAATAGCCATCCATAAACACTCCCTTTCAGCCCTGGTCCCCATATTCTCAACAGGCAGGATTCCTGTCCCCAATCTAACTAATTTCACAGTACAGGTCTCACCTGCCCAGGAGAGAAAGGCATCACTCACTCTCTCCCATGCACAGTAGCCTCACTCCAGAGATGTACCCAGCACAGATATTGCCTGATCTCTTCCTTGGGTTTGGTGAGGAAGCTCCTAATGGGGTCTTGAATCACTGTGAACAGATAGAAATGATTGAGTTCTTTGAGTGCTGTACTCCAAGTGGACACTCAGGGCAGTGTCCCCTCTCTGGGGAACTCTCCTTCCTG